TACTTGAAATCCACTTCTCTATTTTAAAATTTTTTTTAATTTATGTACTTTTATATGAAAATAAATCAATCCCCATACTTTCCTATTTAAATAAATCATCCCAAATTTAATAGATAACATCATGTCATGTCACATTTTTATGAAATCCATTTCATACCTGTTATGTATTAATAATCTGGCATGTGTGGATCTCATTTTTTATGCGATGGATTATTTTTAATGTGGTTTGAATATATATTAATAACATGACAATAAATATGTATTCTTTTAATGTCTTTATTCAATGATAAAAATACCATTTTATTCTCATTGACAATCATTTTTTGGAACTTAAGGTTTAGTTTAGTCATCTATGTTTCCATTTTCAAAAATATTAAATCTCTTCCTTTAAAATCCATAGAACTAAGTACCATTGCATCTAGTGAGAGTTTCATTAAGACTCTAAATTATGTCGTTTGACCTACCAAATCTTTCAAGAGGTACCAAGTCAAAGCCTAACCTAACTTAGATCTCATAATGAGATTGCATATACTTGTCGTGATTTACTATATCCTAAGAAGGTTTAACAAGATATACTAACTTTGAAACAAGTAGTTCAGGTACCTAACGTCACTCAAAACCGATATTTTATAAAATGATTATGAATAGGAAGAAGAAGAAGGTACCAAAAAGTATAACCAAACTTGAAACCCTAATTCCCAAATTCCTAATTTAAAAATAGAAGAAAGAATGATATTTTTATCATTAAATAAAGAGATTAAAAAAATGCATTTTTATTACTACCAACATATGTTTAAGTGGGATTAAAAATAATCCATATCATAAAAAATTAGACTTACACGTGCCAAATCATCAAGACAATAGGTTTGAAATAAATTTCATAAATGTTTTGGGTGACTTATTTCAATTGAAAAGTATGTAGGTTTAAAAGTTTTTTTTTTTAAAAAAAGAATGGATTTTAAGTGACTTGAAAAAGTACATAAATTGATTTATTTCACAACATAACAGATTTGAAATGGATTTCACAGAAATCTGATGTGACATGATGTCATTTGTTAATTTTGGATTGATTTATATCAATTGAAAAGTATATAGATTGATTTATTTTAATATTAAAGTTTGAGGATTAATAAATTTCAAAAAAAAAAAATTGAGGGGTGGATTTCAAGTAGTTCAAAAAGTAAATGAACTAATATACCCTTTTTGCCTATATTTTAATTTTATTATCTTATGTTATATAACTTCTAAATTTTTATACTTTTTTCATATAACTTTTATTATGTTATGTATTTAAGAATTTTATCCTTTTTTGTTATTTTTTATTAATTCATTTTAAACTTTTTTTATTAATGAGTATGTCAATTTTTAATATATTATTTTTTACCTCTATTTTGTTAATAAGCTTCGTTCTTTGTTATGTTATTGTAACAAATTTTAGCCTTTTTACTAATAGTTGATACTTATTATTAAAAATATTATTTCAACTACAAGGGAAGTGAAGTTATTGAAGAAAATTTTGAAAACTTGGTAAAAAGAACATTGTAGTGCTATTGATAAAAAAAATAAAATAGCAAAAATGAAAATTAATGCTAGTGATAAAAATAATGAAGTGTAGTAATTAGATGAATAAAATATTGTGAAATAGGAAAAGTTTATGTTTAGAGCTCTAAGAGAATTTTCAATAAAAGGAGAATATGTAGAAACTAAAAATCAAGAGTGATGGTTTAAAGAAAGTTATGCCAATGCAATTTTTTTAATATGCATGACAAGTAAATGGAGGAAAAATAAAATTAATTCTATAAAAGTAGATGATAAAAACTTAAAGAAGTAGATGAGGTGAAGAATAGAATTATAGCATATTTTCAAGCTTTATTTAAAGATGAAATGTGGTAAAAACTTGTGTTAGATGAGATCATTTTCAAGAAAATTTTAGAGGCAAACAATAAGATGTTGACAAAGCCTTTCTTGATGACTAGAATGAGATTTAGGGATATTTGGAAGTGGATCAAAAAGTGCAATCAAACTAGTAAGATTTTAATTTAATTAATGGAAATGTATCTAATAAGTTCAAAGTTAATAGAGGATTACAACAAGGGGAACTTCTTGCTCAATTTTTATTTTTATTGTGACATTAAGTTTTCATAATTTAATGTTATTAACTATATGTGATGGTATGTTTAAGATGGTGCAAATTGGATTAGGAAATATTTGCATTTCTCATTTACAATTTACAAATGACACTATAATTGTAGGGGTGTCATAGAGGAAAATAATTTGGTTGCTAAGTGTGTTATACAAGCCTTGGAACTGGTGTTCAGGATAGAAATAAATTATGGTAGAACTCTCTTAGTGGGATTTAATACAAATGATTAAGGCTATAAGAAATGATAGCCTTCTTGAACTATAAAATAGATGATTAACAATGCAAATATTTGTGCGTTGTTATTAGGCCAAATCTAAGAAGAAAGGTTATGTGGAAACCTCTCATTGAAGGGGTTAAAAAGATATTGGCTTCTTGGGAGGAATCGTTTTGTGTCTATGAATTGAAAAATTACTTTTATAAACTCATTGTTTTATTCTTTGTCAATTTTTCTTATGTCTATCTATTGATTGCTTAAGGGTGTGATTTGTATAATTAACAAATTAAAGTGAGGTTTTTTTTTTTTTGAAAGGGCACAAGGAAAAAAAAAAAGTTAAGAGGGTCAAGTGAGATAAGGTGTGTAGGGTTAAACAAAAATGAAAGGTTTGAGAGTAAAAAATTTAGACTTATTCAATATAATACTTTTTGATAAATGGTGGGAAATGTCTATGATGCAAATTGAGGGCTTATCAAATAGGATAGTTCAGGAAAAATATGGTACACCAAAGGATAATGTTTTTCGGTGGGTGTATGAGGGTAATGTTTTAGGTCCAAATTAGTGGAAAGAGATAAAGAGTATTAAAAAGGAGCTCTAACAATAAATCAGATGGTTAAGCTTAGGCTTTTTAGAAAGTGGGCTTAGAGTTGCAAACAAAATGATATGAAATTGAACACTACTTACCCTCCACTAAATTGACTCAATATGTTTAAAGGTTTTAATTTTGAATATGAATCTTTGAGTTTTAAAGATATTTCTAATCTATACTCTTAGAACATATATTGGAGATATATTAATTGTATTTTTTACTTATTAATTACTATAAAAAATAAAAATGGATTTCAATTTTTATTGGCTACTTAATTAAAAATCATGTATGTATTATTGGTATTAAAAATAAAGTTAATTTTTGTTTTTCTATACAAATTAAAGAAAAAAAATATAATTAATGCAAATTGTCCAAAAATACAAATTAAACAAATCTCTTTTTATCTATAAATGATAACAAAATAATTTTAGCATGCAAAATAAAATTTCTTTTAATATAATTGTGGTTGTTAGTTTTTTATTTTGCTTTTTAAATTTTAAACCATCAAAATTAACAAATAAAAATTAAAATTAAAAATTAAAATTGATAACTTATTTGGTATAAATTTTTAAAACTAATATTTAAACTTCATTTATTTAATGATGTTTTAAAATTTCTAAATTTTTTAAAACTGTCAACTAGCTAAGTAATTTAATGTGTTAAATTTGAATCATGTAATATACAGATAAAATAAAGTAAAAAATAAAAATAATTATTTCTTATTACATAATCTTGTAATACAAGATAAATTTTTAAAAAAATCCAAAATAAAAACCACAAAATCATTGAAACGTGTCAAAGATTCTGGGTTGCAACGGAAGCAGAAAAAAAAAAAACCACAGGTCCGTATTTTTACGATAAAGCATAAAAGAAAGGAAAAAAATCAAGCACACTGCAGCAGGGTTAAGGGAGCGAGCAACAACTCTCTCAGCTTGCGGAATCCATTTGTTCTTCCGTTTCGATTTCCGACAAAGATCTTTAAGAGGAAGACAAAAAGATGGGGGAGGAGAAGAGGCATCAGATGATGCAGAACCTTTTTGGCGATCAGTCGGAGGAAGAGGAAGAGATCGATTCTGAGCACGAATCAAATCCACACCCTAATTACGGAAGCGTAACTATAATCTTTCTGTCTCCTATGCTTATATGAAGTTTTCCTTTTGGAGTGCTTGCTAGGTTTTCATTTGTTATTTATAGAGCGTTTGTGTTCCGGGAATCTCATTATTGATAATCTGGTCGCTTTAGGTTTTGATATCGTAAGATCGATTTTGATTTGCTGATATGATATTTGGGGTTTGTATGTGGATGCAATTTGGTTTTTAGGTTCTGATGTTGTAACATTGAAATGTCACATTGATTTCTTTTTCAATTTAGTTGTCCTGCTTTCGGCTAGAAGGATGATTTATCTGTTATTGGGGGTTGTATTGTTTCTTTTCAGTTAAGTTTTAGTGATATGTTCTTTGCTGCTTGGGATTGAAGAAAATGTAGAAAATTCTTAAGAATTTCTGAGAATTTTAACTTTGTTTGGGCTTAGAGTTATATGGTTTTTTTGTACAGGATGAAGCTGAGGGAGCCCCAGAAGCTGAGGGTGAAGGGGAGGTAGAGGGGCATGGAGAAGTAGAAGTAGAAAGTGATGTTGAGTTGCATGATGTGGAACCTGATCCTGGAGAAAGTGAGGGTGAAAGAGAACAAAGTTCCCAGGAGGTAGATATTGGTGACCAGAGAGAAGAAAGTGAGGTCAAAGATTCTGACAGTGATGAAAAAGAAGAATATGGTCAGCGGGTAGTGACAAGTAGGAGGCGTGAAGTGATTGAAAGTGGATCAGAGAGGTCTGAGGAGAACCATTACCCAGATAATGAAGATGAGGAGGTTGATCAGGCTAGAAGTCCAAGGTAATGTGTCTATCTTTCCAAGTTTCCATTTCCATCCATACATTTGCATTTGGATTTTTATGTTTACAATTTGTTTCACATTTTAGTCCCTTATTTCTTTTTCCATTTTCTTGGTTGGCCTGTTATAACTTAAAGTCATTAATCAGGTGCTGATTTTCTGCTAAGCAAAGCAAGAAGAAAGAAAAAAAATTACCATGTTATTATTATGATTCCTTAGGTTGACTCTTTGTATTCAATAAGCTGTATTGAAAATTGTGTTACCTTTATTTTAAGCAGCAAATCTCCTGGGGAGGAGAAGGTTCAAACTCACCTTGCACATTCGGCTGCTGAAATTCGTGATGTTTTTGGTGATTCTGATGATGAAGAGATAGCAGAATTTGCAGTTCAAAATGAAATGGAACAAGATGAAAATGTGGTTTTCAAATTTTAAAGAACAAAATTATCATATTTATTTATTTTATTATGCTGGTATTTTAAAGTATCCTTTTGTTGAATATAAGGATGACATAATTTGTTTCATTTCTCAAGAGGTCTCCTATGGAAGAGGAAGATATCTATGAGAAGAGCCTTAGACCTGAGGATATGGTGGCTGATGAAGATGCTCAATATGATTCTGAAGATGACCGTGTTGAGATGAAACATAAGGAAAAGCCTGTTGGCCCTCCATTGGAATTAGAAATTCCATTGCGCCCACCACCAGCGCTTCCTACCAAGGTTTATTTTCTTTCTATTCCTCCTAGAGGCATAGTATCTAGAAAAAATTATCCATCAATTAAAGGTTCCTACTTCTCTTTATTTGTGAAAGGTAAATTTAGAAATTTTGGTGAGTAGTATGTATTGATGATATATATATATATATATATTTTTACCGTGGGATGCTAGTTTATGCTGTAATTACCCAGGTAAAAATTAAAATATATATATATCACTGACTATTCTCCTAAAAGAAATGGGAAAGTTTTAAGTTGTTTCAGCTGTTAATATTAATTTTTTATATTTTACTTCCTTTTTCTTTAGGTGGTGGCATGAATTTGTGCAATAACAAGAGTATAGAAAGTGACTTTGGGTCTTCATGTTGTTTGGTTAGGGACATATATAAGTTCTAGCTCACACATTTGTCTATGTATCATATTATACATCGATGCTATATGGTGTTGGGAATTGAGGGGTCAAGTCTGAGCTGGGGATTTACTTAATGAAGTTATGTTAAGTGTGGTAATGGTCTGAACATGTAACTAATATTTCTTTTTGATGATGAATCTTTTCATATAAACCTTTACACATAATTTATAGAAAATGACAGTAGACGGATTTTAGGCTGAACTGATAAATTAACCCCTTGGCTCCATAAAGACATATGTCCATTCATAATGACATGTTTCTATGATCAAATATCTTTATGGTGTCACGTGTAAACTTTAAAGCAATATGTTAGACATGAATAATTGGATCAAATTTCATTATATTTTCTATCCAGAGGCCCAGTCGCTAACTAATCTACTTGTTTGGTACCTTCTGATTGTTTATTACTGTAGATAGTTGCTTTGACAGTGTTTTAGTTTGACAGACTTTTTGCACTCAGTAATCAATTTTTTGCAGATGAACTTGATCAAAGTTTCTAATATAATGGGCATTGAGCGAAAACCCTTTGATCCTAAGACATATGTGGAAGAGGATATGTTTGTGACAGATGAATCAGGATCAAAGAAACGCATCCGCTTGGAAAACAATATTGTGCGCTGGAGGATTGTTAAAAGGCCAGATGGTACAAAATCTGTAAGTAAATTCCATCTTCCCCCACCTCCCCCTAGCATAGTGTATTTAGGATTTGCTTGAAGGAAAATACATGTCTTTTGAAATGGTAACATCTTTCTTGCAAGTTATTATGTATTTTGAGGTGGCTCAATTTTCTTGTGATCAATAGAATGGATATTCCCATGTTCTGAGGTGGTAAGATATTCTTTTTGTTCATGTTCTTGCTACTTGTAAGTTGTCACTTCTTTAGATGATTTGTGTAACAAATTTCATCATGCTTTTAAATATGAATATAACTATTAATTATAATTTGGGAAGGTATTGCTGATTGGGAAGAATTTCTCTGGTTTTGGGTACATGGAGTTCCAAATTAAAATTCTTATTATCTGCATGGGTTATGACTTATAAAATACCTGGTTCTTCACCACTATGATTCCTGGATATCTATGTTAATTGCCACTGGACTTGCTGATATCTTTTTGCTCATCATTTTAATTGCAATTATGGTTCATCCTCTGCTTTCTGTTTTATTTTCCTTTTCCTTCCTTTCCATTATATAACAAGTTATAGTTCTCATTTTTCTCCTGTTTATATCTAGTATGAAAGCAATGCTCGCTTCGTGAGATGGTCGGATGGAAGTTTTCAGTTATTAATTGGGAATGAAGTTCTTGACATCTCTGAGCAAGGCGCACAACATGACCAAGCACACCTTTTTCTCAAGCATGGAAAGGTGATTTCTTTGTACAATTAGCTTGGTATATTCAAATTTTTTGTATATTAATCGTCAGGCTCTTTCCTGCTTATGAAAGCATCCTAGGATGCTAAATTGATTTAAGTGAGTTTTGGTTAATATACACTTGTTAAACTCTGTTCTTTTTCACTTTTCCCCTTAACTTTGGTTATATTGTTAATCTTCTTTGTCTGTCATAAGCTTGTTACATAAATTTTTCATTTTTTATTGAGAGTAAGGTCTTGTTAATAATACTAGCATGCATATGGAGTTTGAGACCTGTTAATTTTAATTAGCCTTTCCATTTTTGTGTTTTTGTTTCAAGCAAACATAATCTGTCCTCTCATATCTGGCTGCTATTAGTTATGAGTCATTGGCCCAGGTAAAATCAGGAAGGGTAGGAATAGAGGGTGTTAGGCAAAGCTTAAAAAGAATTTGCTTTAAAAGCATTAATCATCTCTCACAAATTTGAAATTTTGTTAGAGGCAAATTCAAAAATTGTCTTGTAAAGTGGGTTTTAAGCAAGTTTTGAAAAAGCTATACATCACTTTTTCAAAACTTGCTTAAAACACAATTTTAAGTGTTTCCCTCCAACAAAATTTTAAATTTGTGAGAAAGAATAGTGCTTTTTAAGCTTTGCTAAACACCCTCATAATCAATCTTATTATCTATTTCTTCATATATTCAGACCTCTAGAGTCTTCATACTTTGCTTCTATTAATTGTCCTACAAAATTACAAATGGGTGGTATGGACCTTCAATATCTAGCTCTGGTGGTTAAATAGGAATTTTATAGTGGGATTGAGAGGTAAATCTTCTTCTTCTTCTTCTTCTTCTTCTTTATTTTTATATTTAATCTTTTATACTTTAGTTGCTTTCATTTACCAAGTCTTATAAAGATAGTGGTTGGGACCCAGATGAGGCATGTGCATGTATTCTTAGATCAGAAACTTTTCTCATCTATTAAATTCCTTTGAGTTGGTACTTTTTGATCATGTTAGGGGCCAAATTGTTTTATTGTGAATGATCACCTTCACAATATTTTTGCTGGGAGATATTAGGTGATTTGGAATCAAGTTAATTAAGGAAATAAATATTAGATTTAAAATTATGTCTTGGGTTTCTTGGTTAGTGGGTCAACTGAGCCTATTTGAAGGTTAGCTATGTAACTATCTTCCATTATTTCAATATATTAGAATATTTACCGTATGCCTTTGTTCCAATTGTCCCTTCTAGCCTTTCCTTGTGTTAAGTTTATTAACATGGTATTAGGCCGATGTTAGGTTTCTTATTTTTGCTTCTGCTGTTTTCTTAGTCATTTCGGTTCATATTAGGTTTCATTAAAAGAAAAAATAACATGTTTTTCAATCCTGTCTTAGTCACCTCAGATTTCTTGGCTATCAGTTTTTTGTTTCGGGTCAGGTTTGTCTAGGTTCAGATTTTGCTCCTCCTGTGATTCCCCCATCATGAGTGTTTGTGGTCTTTGTGCATCCTCTGTTGCTTTTTTAGGTGTTTCTATGTTAGACAAAATAAAATTAAAAAAAGAAAAGAAAAGGGCATTTTCCTTTCATTGTTTAGCTGTTGGATCTTTGCAAATGAAGCATGAGCATGGATCTTGGTGTGTGGCTGTGATTTCTCCTTCCTATTTGGCTGCTTGGTAGTTCAGATCTGCTAGATGTTTGTGAGTTTGTTCAGGTGTGTTTTGGGTGCCAACCCATCCCAGCAGCGTTTGATTTGTGTCTTGGTTGCTGACCAACTGAAGCAGTATGACGGTTTTGTGGTTTGGCTACCAGCTGCTGTCGTTCACGTGTTGTTGACTGGTTCACAGCGGATCACCAGTAGTGTTTTGACTGAGTCATGAGAAATGACCAGTGTTGTTTTGTCTGCTGTTGGTGCAGTTTGTGGTTCAGTTGTTTACAACGTCAGCTGTGGTTGGTGATGTGGTTTTGACTGGTTCAATGCAGTTTTTCGGTGTTGGTGATGTGGTTTCTGCTGTTTCAGTTATTGGTTCGACTCTGGCTTCAAGATTTTTTGTGAAGGATTGTGGAAGCACCATGAAGATGTTTGCATTTGCAAACTCAAGTTGGTTAAACCACCTTGAGTTTGAGGGAGAATGTTGAGAGATATTAGGAGATTTGGAATCAAGTTAATTAAGGAAATGAGTATTGGATTTAATATTATATCTAGGGTTTCTTGGTTAGTGAGTCAACTAAGTCTATATAAAGGCTAGCTATGTAACTATTTTCCATTATCTCAATATGTGAGAATATTTCCTGTATGCCTTTCTTCCATTTCTCCCTCCTTGCCTTTCCTTATTTTAAGTTTATTAACAATTTTAATAACGGAAGCTGCACTTTTATGTTTTGAGTCAGTTTTGGGTTGATTTGGTAGTGGAAGGACTTGGATTCAGTCTTAACTTTGATTTCTGGCTGTATGTCCTCATTGAATGGACAATTGGTGCTCTGGTGATTTCTGTTCTAGTTTTCATAGTCTGACTCCTACAGGCAATGGGTCTCATCATAATATGATATAATATTGATTCCTTTGAGCTGAAATAAACTTGTTTCATATATTTATGATTGTAGGGAATTCTTCAATCCCAAGGAAGAATTTTGAATAAGATGAGGTTTATGCCGTCATCCTTGTCATCAAATTCTCATCGGTTGTTGACTGCTCTAGTTGATTCACGGCATAAAAAGGTTTATAAGGTGAAGAACTGTATCACTGACATTGATCCTGAGAGGGAAAAGGAGGAAAAAGAAAAGGTGACTAGTTTATTATGGTTATAATTATGTGTGCATTGATTGTTGAGCGACCTCAAAGCCTTAATCTAATTGTTCTTATATTTTTAAAGGCTGAAAGCCAAACAATCAGAGCTAATGTTCTTCTGAACCGTAAGAGGGAAAAAGTGAATAGGAAGTATACACAAACTGCAGTGAGGCGCCAACTTTCAACTGGATACTTGGAGGGGGCCCTTGATGAGGTCTGCTTTAGTTCCTTTTGTTTACTTCATCATTCATGGAATTCTTGTTATATATGACATTCTCATTATCATCATCTATGCCTTTTCTTTTTGTTTTCATTGTGTATTTAGATCTTCTGTCTAGTCTCTCTATTAAGACCTGAATGAGGTATTATGATATTCAATAAACTTTTATCAGGATGATGAAGATTATAATGATTCTCGTCGTTTTCGCCACCGCTTTGATGAGGACTTGGAAGTGGAGGCTCGGGCAGAAAAACGCATCCTGAATGCCAAGAAGGTCTTTCACCATTTCCCCTGTCCTAGTGTGCATTTCACTTGTTTCGTTGATCTTATTTATTTATTTGGGGGGATACCAGGCACAGGGATACAGGGACATTCCTCGCAAGTCATCCATGTCAGCAGTTAAATCTAGGCGCCCTGTGGATTTCTCTGATAGTGACAGAGAGGAGTCCGAATATGAATCTGATGGAGAGGAAGATGGGAGATCTCCTCCACGTAAAAGGGTTGAGGATGAAGAGCCAGAGTATGAAGAAGAGGATGAAGAGGAAGAGGAGCATGAGGAAGAGGCAGATGCTGATGAAGCATCCGAGGAAGAGGTATTAAGTTTCAACAAATTCTTTATCCTTTTTTTTTTAGTATAAGAGGTTATCCATGGCACCTTTGAGAAATAGGTCTGGAAGGCACCACCATCCTGTATTTTTCAAGGTGCTATGGATTTTGACGTAGCCATCAGTCATGTCAGCTGTTAGCTCCTTAATTCACTATAACTAGTGTTGTCCAATTATTGGAAAGATGATTTGTTCTAGAATGGATTTCTCATTTATGCTATGTCTTCCTGGGGCTTGATATCTCTACTTAAAGTTTAAATGAATATTCTCTTATTTTCTGTTGATCTAAAATGGTTTTCATGTTGAGGCTGATTTTAGTATTGGCTTCTTTTGCAGGAACCCAAGCAAAAGGTGAAGGACTTTGGAGGTAGGATCAAGCGCAAGCCAATGGAGTCCGATGAGGACTCACCTCCAAGAAAAGTTCAAACACATCAACATCGTCGCATGGCAGTTGTTTATGATAGTGATGAAGAATGAGAACCTGTTACTTGCAAGATATTATGAGTAAGTACTTAGTAACTTGGCTTCCCTTAGTCTCTCTTTACTATTACTTTTGACACCCTAAGGCCAGTGCATGCTTAATATAACTTTTATAATGCTGAATCATTAAATTAAATATCACAATAACATTTCGGTCTTTTGTTGTGTCTGATTTTGTGACTGCACTTTTTTCACTCTGCATTCTTTATCTTGAGCATCAGTTGCCCTGGAGCCGTTCAAATGGGATTTTTGTCTGCTGCTTGGTTGTCAACTTACAGTATGATTGTTGATTTGTTACATGAGGCTTCACTATTGATTCCAAGTTTGGTCCCTTTCTGGATGACTGGTGCATTTGCAATGTGGAAGTTCAACATATAATTTGAACTTCTATATTGTTTTTGCTGGCATGTTTATGTTATCCCTCGTTATATTAGCAGGATTACGTATGGTAATAAATCTGACATTCCTAGGCTCTTATTTGCTTACACTGCAGGTCTACATCCTGATAATGAAACGGGAGCAGATCCCTGCATTTAGAGTTGCGATGGATGGTAGAATCTATTCCAGCTCGATGAGGCATCTGTCAAGTAGAAGCTCCTGAAAGTTTAGATATTTATTGTCCCTTTTTACCTTTGTCATGGATAAAACCAGTTTTCTCCATTGCGGGATGCCGACAAGACCTGTGATAAATCCGGCAGTATTCTCTTGATCCTTTTTTCTGAATGTTATCAATGCAATCTGCTTCTAATATGCTGGTATTATCTTTCTTTATCTTTGAAGAAGACTTCTCTTCCCCAAACTTAAATCAATGTCTCCGAGAAGTCTAGATTCTAATTGTTTTGATTTTGTGGTAAGCAGTGTAGGTTATAGATAATTATGGAAAGAACTGAAAATAGGTTGAACAGTACAAGTTATTTACCATATGAATTGGAGAACATCTTAGCTGGGAGGAGGATTAATTTGTCGCAGGTGCTTAGGTACTGCTGGAGGCTTTATCAGATAGTTCGACTTGTACCCAAAAAAAAAAAAAAAAAAGTTGATTTTCTGAATGGCAATGGAAGATAAAGTTTTTACTCTTTAATTTTCATATTCTTTTGACTTTAAATAAATTAATTTAATAATTTTATATAATAAATAAATAACATTTTTAAAAAGTAATTATTATTTATTTAGGAAAAAAATATATATTAATTTTGATTTTTAAAAAAATTAAAGTTTTAATTTGAAATTATTTTATTTTATTTAATTAAAATTTAATTTAAATTTTTAAAATTTTGTTAAATATTGATATTTAAATTTAGAAGTTAATTGGATTTTTCAATTTTGAATTTGAATTTTAATTTTTAAACATAAGTTAAGGTTCTAATTGTTTTCAATAATCAAGAGTGTTATGCATTAATTTCTTATATATTCTATAAATTTATCTAGTTAAATTTTATATAAAAAGTCAAATTAACACAATTAAATTTAACAAGAGAATAATAATTTAATCTATTTTATGGGCACCTTTATACTCCTTACAACCTCATTTTTGGTCCATGAACTTTGACATGTCTCTTTTTGATCCCTCAATTTTAAAATCTCTTTTTTAATCCTTAATGTTTATTTTTTGACCCCTTTGATCTTTCTAGTCCCTCCATCAATTTGTTGCCAACATATCATGTCAACTATTGAAAACTACTTGATTTCTTTTGTATATAAATGACATGGAAAATTCACGTAGTCAAAAATAAAAACATAAATAAATTTATGAATTCACATCAACATTTCTTATAAATATCTCAGTTTATTTGCAAGAAAATTAATATCATTGCTTAATTTATGAATTAAATATAATTAATTTTAATTACTCATTAATTAACTTTAATTAACTGTTAAAATCCAAAAATTTCTTCCTTTGTTCTTCAATAAGGTTCTTAACAAATCATAGCACTTAGATTCCTTATTAGGTTCAACATTATGGACTTAATACTTTAAATTTCAACATTATATCATTTATTTTTCAAAACCAACACCCACTACAAATATCAATTTTCACGACAGAATTTTGTTCCTTTGATTCTCTATCTGGAAAACAAACAAAAAATGGTGAAAAAGCTAGGACAAATTGAAAAGAAACAAATAGAACAAGCAAAGAGAGGCATTAAGAGAAACCTTATCTATGTTCCTCGCTCGAGGATGATAAGCCCAAATTTGGGTTCTCATTCGCTCGAGGACAAGGAATAGGGAAAGAAACCAACTTGAACCAAATGTCAATTTATAAGGCACAAAGGGACCTTATTTCTCTAATCGGCTCTATTATGCTCTATATCACACATCAATGGGGAATTTTAAGTAAGTCTGATATAAAATTGTGAAAACAAACTACTAGTAATAATTTAAACTGAAGTTTTTTAAGCTTATCGATCTTAACTAAAAGAGTTGTTAAGCTAATGGTAAGTTTTGGCCTAGCTCGTTTCAATTGTTATCAAAGCAGTCACCTTTTGCAAATGTGGGCTCACGTTGACCATCATAGTTGGTGATAATATGGATCCCATTTCACTTGAGGTGAATCTTATGTTAGTGGGTCCTGATCAAGCATTAAGTGAGGGGAGATTATAATGTTCCAAATCCCATATCGATAAGGAATTATGAGTGAGTTTGGTATATAATTATAGAAACCAACCATTATTAATAGCTTGCTTAAGCTTTTGAAGGCCTATAAACCTTGGCATGAAGAGTTGTTAAACTAGTGGTGGGCTTCAACTTAAGTCGTTTTAGGTTTTTTTTGTTCAAAAACTTGATTAAGTTATTAGTAGTGATTAGTCTCTAGTCTTATATACTCACTCACAATTTAGTATCAACGTGAGATTCTAAGTGTTATAATCTCTTTCACTTCAACACTTTATGTCCTCATCAAACTCAAAACTAGGCCCATTAGGCTACAAGTATAAGATCCATTTCAAATGATGTGAGGTTTATAAGTGAAAGGTAACCATTCTAATACCAAGTAAAAAGACTTGAATTGAATCTCATTACTTGTTTAACAACTTTTTAAACCAAGTTCTACAAGCTCTCAAAAACTTAAACTCAAATTGTTAGTAGTGATTAATCTCCACATTTATATATCAGACTCATTCACAATTTTACATCAATGTGGAATTCATGGTGTTACAGGCTCCTTTTTTATCTATAATCAAGATTTGGGTTTTTTAGTCACTTCAGGACGACAAACCCAAATTTGGGTTTCTCACTCCTTTAAGGATGAGGAATGCAAAAAGGATTCAACGAAGGTGTTAAGGGAGGATAAAAAAGGGAGAAAGGGTATTCCTAAACTACTTTATTGACTCCCTTTGAGGAAGAAAGGTATTCACTTTGGGTTTCTTCTAGTTGCATCTTGCCATCTATCACGCCAGATGATTTTCTCTGGCTCATGGCTAGTTTCACAGTCCTTTACTAGTGTTCTGCTACAAATACACTTTAGTGGCCTTTGGGTTTATGCTCCTTCTTTTAGAGGCGCATGGATGCCTCACCTGCGTCCGATGTCCTTGGCATGCTCCCAAAGGGAGTGGATTTTTTGGTTTCTCGCCCAGTATCCGAAGCTTCACCCCGACTAATCCAGACCCAACCCGCGTCGCGCACCTGGAAATGGTGGATGAGTCTCCCAGCGGGAGTTGCTGCGTGCACAAGATCTCGAACTCGAAACCTTACTTAAGCTGGAACAAACCGCTTACCACTTGATCCAACCCCTCGTTAGTAAAGGGGGTGGATTTAAAGTACTCTGATCAAAGGGAGAAGGTGTTTAGGGAGAGCAATGCTAAGGGCAGTCGCCCATTTGCACTCTCTTGGACACAGGCGGCTCTAATAGTGACATGTGGCAATTATATTTAAGAAAGGAAATAGGACCCTCATCAATTTTTTTTTCGGCCGTCGTAATCGCAAACAGACATGGTTAATCCCCTTTTTCTCTTTTAATAACATTCTTCCAATTTCCATTACTGTCTTTTCATTTTGCCATTCTTAATTTTTTTAAATAAATAATGATAAAAAGAGACAAATTCTATAAAAATAAAATTTTAAATTAATGATATAAGTTATATTATTTAAAATATTAAAAGATAAATATTATATTATTTAATAATTTATTTTTTATATTATTTAGATTCATGATATTATTTACATGAACTTATTCAATAACATGATTTATATTAAATTATTGGTTAAAATACCATTTTGGTCTCTTAACTTTTTACTTTGACACCAAAATTGTCCCTCAACTTTAAAAAGTACCAAAATTATCTTTAAACTTTCATTTTCAATACCAAAATGGTCATTCCGTCAGTTAAATGATAAATGGCACATTATCTTGCCACAAAATCACATTAAAAAAATAATTATTATTATGTGAAAAGCAAACTTGATGAGATGGCATTTTTCTTTTTTCATGTGGCATTTTGTTTTTATTTAAATAAAAGCCCACGTATTATTATATTATTCATCTTCTTTTTCCTCCCTTCTTCTCTCGCATCCCTCCACCTCTTCCTCTTTCCTAGCCTTCTTCCTCCACACCAATGAATGGGTTTACTCAACAGGCGGGGAGCATGAGTGAAGGGATGGCGAAGACCGTCATGAACAGGTTCGAACCGGGTAGGGTTCTGATTTACACTGAGTTGGCAAACGAGTTTGCCAACTTCGATTGGTGGTTCACGTCAGTTCCCGCATCAACTCAGCCGAACTTGTTCTACGCCCACTCAACCACGTCGTTTGGAGCCATGAGCAACATGAGGAAAGACCTCATCCATGGATTCCCCCAAAAAACAATCTTTGATTCCCTAGAAGAAAATGGAGATTTGGGTTCTCTTAACCCAACTTCAACACTAGCTATGCCTTCCTTTTGGCTCTCACTATGCACTCGCTCTTGCTCAAAACAATGCTTTTGCTGTGAATGAGAAGTAAGGAAGAGAAGGATCGAGCAAAGCTTGCGTTGTTTTGGTGTTTTTTATTCGAGATGCTTTTGCAGTTGCCAAGAGCATTGGTTCACATGGGAGTAGGAACAAAGGAGAAAATGGAGAGGAGCACATCAGTGAGGAAGCCGCACACATCAACTGTAGGTCTGCTTACTTGGTCGAAGACTCCTCCCTCTGATTCCCCTGCCCCTGGCTCCGC